CCCCTAGTTTTTTGACATCTATTTGTGGTCGGCCTCTGCCCTCTAACGACTGTCCCGTGACTATGAACTTGGGTAAATAACTATTTATTGTAGCTGGAAACATTAAAAATTATTTGGAACATACGAGAAAGGGTAAAGCGAGACATGCATAATTTAAAGGCTCAATCCAAAAACATCACGTCGCACTTGCGAGAAATTTAATCCATCACATACATGCAGATTCTTTGCGGCGGAATTCCGCCGGTTCGGAAACTAAGCCGCCCTCCGTTGAGATAGCGCCGCTCCTCGGAGGCGCGCGTATGATTTTTACGACACGTCCGGAAATCACCGGGGCCCTGAATATATTATTATTGTTATGGCAACACCGAACGTTGGGAAAATTGTAAAATACGCCATACACTTTTCCGCGGCGCGAGAGTTATGCTTGTAGTCGCATATCATTAGGGAATTCGTTCGGATCACACCGCCGCCGACTGAATTTTTCATCGCGTTTGCATTTTCTAAGATTTATTATTCTGTGAAAGAGCCGTGCTCTTTCTTGAGGCCGTCCCGCGCTGTTTGCGGTAGTGACGATAAACTAAAATTAATGTGCCACGAATTTTCTAAAAATATTGCTTTTTAATAAGTTATTTGATATTCTTTCCAATCTTCTTACAATATTTCCATAGGCGGGTCGACTTTTGGTATATTTTGGTATTCATTAACATGACAGAGATAGTATTGAACTGAAATTTAAACACATACATAATCTTCAAGTCCAGCTATAATGGAATGATATCTTGGAAATCAAGACATTACTCAGTCGCTGATGTGTTTTTTGTGAAAGCGCGAAGGGTGCGAGGGGGGCGCGGAATTCTGAACGTATTTACATATTCTCTTCCAAACACCCCATAGATTTAGGTGCCAACAAATGGATTGTTTCTCCTCCACAGCAAAACAAAATTTATAGCGCCTAACGCAAATTTTTCGCAGCCTTTTCCGTGGGGCGCTGGCGTCTTTTTTCTCTCTCGATTTTCGATTTATTGCTAACTTATGCCCTGTATAATCGTGATTTTAATGCTTGCGCGTGATTTACGTCGGTCCGCCGAGCGTTCGCAGCGGAACGGGATTGCTTTTCGAAATTTGATATCTCAATAACGTTTATGATGCCCTGGTGCATACGATACTTATTCTTTACATGCTCCTTACTCACACGCTCCTTGTAGCGCGCAAGGGGCGACAGCGTCCGCTCAAAAGATTGAAGAACCGTGGACATTGCGTTTTAAAATGAAAAATAATTGGTAGTCATCAGAAAAAACGCAGTCTTCCCGTATAAATTTGACAAATCCCGTTATCCGGCCGGAGAACGCTCGGGGGTTTATCATTTTTCGGTTTTTCTGCACACCGTAATAGGCTTCATAAATTTTTGATAACGTTTTTGCGCTTATCGACGCGGCCGGCGTCCGAGCGGACGGACAGCGGACAGCGAAAAACATGATGCCCAAAAAAGCTCTCCATCCCACTTAATAACCGGGCCCACTAAATTTGGTGTTTTCTAAATTGTGTTGCCAGTGTATATAACCGCTTTTTCAGTGTAAAATTGGACGTTGCATGTAAACATGGTGCGTTAGTGTAAACACAGCATCCTGTGGTTATTGTTCGTATATCGTGCATTACGGATGCATTAGTGCAATTCAACGATAGCCAAATACACGTAACTGTAATAACAAACAATGGCGGACCTCCCGCGCGTCTATTCTCAGCTACGATAACATGCGCGGGCGCAGGTGACTGCTCCGTGCACCGTTTACTCAACTGATGCGTTTATTACACATATGGCAATATTACCACCTTTATTATGTGAGTCGGAAAGTCTAATTTGAACAGCGATATGCCCTCGCATGTACGTACAATAAAATTTAATATCTTACATTACAAAAGGTAGGTGGGCTAGAACAAAGATATATTACAAATATTTATTTAATGCCATACCAAACACAACTGGCTACTCCACGAATATTTTCACGCTATCGTTTACAGAAGAAACACCTTCGGGCAGATTATCACGATGTTTCGACCAATTACACAAGTTTCTTGGACCTCCAAAAATAATCGAGATGTACTCGTATATGGGTTTATATTGACGACATTAATTCCGGTAAGCAGACAAGCAAAGCTAAATTGAAACTTGAAAAACTTAAAACTTCGGCGCCCTGCGGCGTCAATAATCCGAGCGTGACATCAAATCTTAACGAGATGAGAAACAAATACTCTTAACTAGATAGCAATAAGCTGCTTTTTACAACCCGAAGCATTTCGCGTGTGCTCGTATAAAATATCGAGTTTTATTGACACTCCAGATGGGTATAACAACAGAAAGATTAGTGTTTACGAGCGAAACCGCGGCTTGGAGTATATGTGCGGGCGTAATTCGCAGCAATACCATCCCTTCCCGATGTAGGATTGCGAAACTCTTTTTACGTGTAATTTTCACTATGAATACATTATTTAGAGACTCGCGCGCATCAGGGAGCTGAGTAATGCCCCATACGCTTTTATTTTTATGACATGTTTTTACGAGAGCCAAAATGGCGAAGTCGGGCTCATTTAGATTTACGATCGCATCGGAAGGGTTCAAGTGGTAACCGAACAAATTGAAGTGTTTATAGAACGCTCCGCGACGTTCCTCGCCACTGTCACATTTGTTTTTTGTCGTGTGTTCCAGTTTATAAATCAAAACAATGAAATGGAGTGTTCACGAGGTCGCAGTTCCGTGTGCAATTGCTTTTTGTTTAATTCTAACTTCATTTCAGTTAAACTTCTGGATTTACTTAATAGAAATTACGTTTTTATTCGTTTACCAGCTTTTGCACGCGGCTTCGATCGCGTTAATTTATACCATTAGGGGTGGAATTTATCAAAATACTTTCTTAGGGGATGCCTACGTCATAGTAGCTTTATGCATGCAAAGTCTCAGCCCGATCGGTTTAAAATTGACAAAGTTTCATACAAACTTTCATCCCCTATTTTATCCCCTTATCCACATCTACCTGCATGCCAAATTTCAGCCCGATCCGTCCAGTGGTTTGAGCTGTGCGTTGATAGATCACTATGTCAGTCACCTTTGAGTTATATATATTTAGATAGTTAGATCTTAGTTTTCTACTTCAATTTCCCTCATCCAAGATACTAGTGTAGCAAGCAATGCATTTAAAAGGTATAAAACAATTATGCATTTAATACAAAGTCATTATAAGACTGTTCAAAAATTTTGGACCCAGTACGCTTACACCTTCATCAGACACAATCTAAATTCTTGTTGCAGTCAACTAATATATATTTCAGAAAAACAAATCATAGCGCGTTTTAGATTTGTATAGTGATATCTAACAACTGTCAACTAACATTCCATTGATATTAGTTCTTAAATCAAACACATGTGACTTAATTTCAAATATATTTTAATAAACATAATAAGAAGAAATTCAAAAAGAGTACTTAAAAAAAACAAACCACAAACTATAACTCCCGTGCCAGTATCAAGGAAAGATAAACTAGAGAAGATCCCGCGGGGGCTAACGGTAGCTACCCAGCGAGTTGCACGGCAGAAACCAATAACATTACATTAGATAATATACGTGTTGCGTGCTCCTGCCACCCTGGTATCGGCCAACCAATAACATATTCCAAGATTATTCATAACTTAACAAAGTAAACTTGCTTGGCACAGCATACGTTAACCATAGATAATAAATTCATAGTTTTTATAATAAATAATGAAATAAAACGATGACATTCCCGAAATAGCAATAAATATTGACTTAGTAAAATTAGAACTAAATTATTTAAAAAAGCAACACGCAAGTTTCTTGCTCGTTCTTCTGGTGACGAGAAAGTTGTCCTAAAGAGCGGTAGATTAAAAAAAATTAATGACTATTCAAAAGTGCTTCATGTAAGTTTATTTTGAGTAAAGAATTTTCTATTCTATTTTATAGTAATAGAGATCATCTTAAGATCTCTTATTAGTTCTTGGATCTCGGAGAAATTAGTATGATTACATTCATATTATTATCAACACTTAAGTTGCTTCTAATATTACAAATGCTTTGTATGGTTTATAAACTACTAGACATCCAATGTTTTTTGCCTCGCACAACCACATTGTGGAATCACCTTCCAGCAATGGTATTTCCGAAACGAAACGATATTGTAACCTTTAAGAAAATAGCTTATTCCTTTTTAAAAGGCCGACAACTTACTTGCAATTCCCCTGGTGTTGCGGGTGCTCATGGGCGGCGGTAATCACTTACCATCTGGTGAGCCGCATGCTCGTTTGTAACCTGTGTTATAAAAAAAAATGAATTTTAATAAACAGATAAATCATATCCTAAATTAATATATAGGACACTCTTTATAAAATTGACTCAATTAATATTACAGTAATTAATAAAAACATGATTGTTTATTTCTAACTCAAAAACCGCAATAATGCTGAGTCTGTATGAATATAGGCCACACTCAGCAAGTGTAAAAAAACAGTTTAAAATGGTTTCGGACTTGCTTTTTATCTATCTAACTACACAAATGTTGTATAGTTTTATTGTCATTTTATAATATATGTTATTATTTGTCAATAAATTTCATTTCATTCTTTCTTCTTTAAATAAAAATGTATAGTTTTATTGTTATTTTAAAATATATGTTATTAATTGCAAATAATCGGACTAAGGTTATAGATGTTTTTATTGAAACAAGAAAGAAAGAAAAGAACATTTCTTTCTTTCTTTCTTATTAAATCAAGAAATGTTATTTTCTTTCTTTCTTATTTCAATAAAAAACTTTATAACCTAAGTTCGATGCCCCATTTTAAACTAATTTTATTGTTCGATGTGTAATCCAACAATTGGCGACGTTTCTACCCAAATTTAATTAGGCCCAGATCTATTTAGGAGAGCACAAAATTGAATCCGTTTCTACAAATTCTATTTGCATTGTGTTTGATTCCTCTCTTTCTTTTACAGCATCCGTATCCGTCGGAGGACCAAAAGAAACAATTAGCACAGGACACAGGGTTAACGATACTACAAGTAAATAATTGGTGAGTGTTTTTCTGTTTATTTATTTATTTATAACGCTTAATTACACCAACATTGAAAGGACGTGAACAAAATTAATATATCTTCATAATATTATAAACACGAAAGTTTGTGAGTATGCATGCATGTTTTTTTACTCTTTCACGCAAAAACTACTGATCAGATTGTAATGAAACTTTACAGTAATATAGCTTATACATCAGAATAACACATAGGCTATAAAGAAGATATTATGTAAATTGCGCGAAATATAATAAATGTCATGTATATGTGATGCAGACGAAGTTACGCGGCTCGGCTAGTATTCTATGTTATAATTTAAAAGGAATTTTATGAGTATAGATGTTTGTTAATCTTTCACGCAGAAACTACTAAATAGATTCTAATGAAACTTTACAATAATATAGTTTATACATCAGAATAACACAGGCTACAAATTTCACGGAGAAACCGCGGGCACAGCTAATTAAAAAACTAACTGGTGTTGCTCATTTATTTATTTATTTATTTAACTTTAATGCACAAAAACAGTGTGTACATATGGCGGACTTAACACCATGCGGCGTTATCTACCTGGCAACCATGAGTGGTGCAGAGAAAGATTATTGGCAGTGCACTAATATAGATGAGAAATGTCAAAAAAAAGATATATATAAATATAAAGCAAAATATTTTAAATATAAATTTCAATAACAATTAATAATAATAATAAACATACATAAATAAATGTATAAATATAAACATAGATATATAAATATTATGATGATGATATAAATATTATATATAAATAAATACATAATGATCTGATAATCAAATTATAAGTCATCACTTACCATCACGTGAACCGCAAGCTCGTTTGTCCTCTACACTATTTTTTTTTTAATAACCTAGTAGGTACATACAGTTGCATCAATATCGAGCGTTCCATTACACGAAAGCCAAAAACGTATAAAAACCCATAACTGACGTTAAAGCCGGTTATTAAAACCCACTGACGTACTTTATTAATTTGATTAATTCGAAGTTGGAATATCGAATATTTTAATCTAAAAATAATAAGCACTACAGATGAGATTCTTTATTCATTTGAATAATTATAATTACGGATATGGATTACTTTAATTTTAATAAAATAAGCAATATACGTGACGTTCTTTATTCATTTAATTAATTCGAATTTCGAATATGAGTTATTTTAATTTTTAAATATAAGCACTGTACGTGACGTTCTTTATTCATATGATTAATTCGAATTTCGAATATGAGTTATTTTAATTTTTGATATTTTAATATTGATGCAACTGTAGGTACCTACAGTTGCATCAATATCGAGCGTTCCATTACACGAAAGCCAAAAACGTATAAAATCCCATAACTGACGTTAAAGCCGGTTATTAAAACCCACTGTCAGCGCGATGCATTTCTATTTGCCATTCGACCAGCTCAAGGAGACACCGCAAAATCTTTCCTCACAGTCGCACTTACTGATAATCTATATTGCTCTCTTTGTTTCGCGATTCTATAAGGTTCCAGCTTACCTGGTCGGATAATAACATGATTATCTTAAGTTGGGCATTATAAAATATGGTATTTTACGACGGCGCATCCAATGCTAACATTAAATTCGTTTAATAATGAGCCTGATGCAAGATAAACTGATGCACCCACTCGGTTTCACTTGCACTTTATACATCCAATATATAAAATTCTCGTATCATTACATAGTATAAGATAAAGTCGCTGTCGCTGTTTGTCCGTCCCTATGTATGCTTAAATCTTTAAAAGTACGCAACGGATTTTGAAGCGGATTTTTTAATAGATAGAGTGATTCAAGAGGAAGGTTTATATGTATAATACATGTACACCCGTGTGATGCTGGGGCGGGTAGCTAGTATATATATATATATATATATTTACCAAACATACAGACAGTCAGCTCCTATCAGCATAGCGTGTGTGGGCGTAGATTCAAGTGCGTGTACGTAAGTTCTCTGCTAGGATAATAAAATACGAGACAAATGATTGCCATTTTAACATCGACTTGGTACCAAAATGGCGTATTTCTTTACTTTATAATAATATTAATACCAGTATAATTCACACAGCACCATGTGTACCAAGCTAAGCAGAGCTTGTATTATGGGTACTAGAGAACTGATAGAAATATTTACTTTTTTCGTAAATACATATATAATATTCGAGTAGATTGACTAGTAAAGACATTAGTAACTAATGTACTATATCAGGTTGACCTCCACGCGGTTACCCCTGTAAAACATCACGGTAGATTCCTGGTGAATTTGTCGCGATGGGCTAACTGACCTGAACTCATTCTCATCTTATCATCCTCCACTGGTGCACCGTCAGTGTAAACCATTAGCATGTAGGGGACACCATTCCATTATCATACATTTAAAAAAAATACGAATTATCTAGGAATCGAATTCACGACCATCGGAAGTAAAGCAGTGTGCTCAACCGCTAGACCACCGAGACTGTCAATTTTCAATTAATTAATTAATGAAATTATTTATTGCCCCTACAAAAGTGCACAGGGACAAAGAGGCACTACTCTATATATAAATTTATTTAAAAATGAATTTTAATATTTGAAGAGAAAACTCTTTTTCCAACATAACCTTCTCGGCCATTGTTCTCGGCCGCAAGTCCTATTATAAAAATAACCACTCTAAAGTGCTTCATGTCAATTTAAATTATATTGCTATAAGGATAAAGTTTATTTCCGTACTGCTTGGATTTTATAAAAACTATACAAGTCACAAGTATACAAGAACTAGCAAGAAAGTCAACTGACAGACAGACAAAACTTGTAAAAAATGTTTTTTTGGTGTGTGTACCGTATTTATATTCATATGCATGTAGTAAAAACGGTTATTTCAATATTACAAACAGACAATCGAATTTTATTTATTAACATCGTAAACCATATTCGAAATTTAAATTATTCAAAGAATAAAGTAAGTCACGCGTATTGCTGATTTTTTAAAATTAAAATAATGCAAGTCAAAATTCGAATTAATGCAATGAATAAAGAGCGTCAGTTGTAGTGCTTATTTATATTTAAATTAAAATAACCCATATTCGACATTTGAATTAATCAAATAAATAGAAAAAGTCAAGTGAATTGCTGATTTTTTATAAATTGAAATAACCCATATTCGAAATTCGAATTGATCAAAAAAATAGAGATAGTCAAGTGAATTGCTGATTTTTTAAAAATTTAAGTAATCCATATTCGAAATTCGAATTAATCAAATGAATAAAGAACGTCACATACATTGCTTATTTCATTAAAATTAAGTAATCCATATCCGTAATTAGAATTATTCAAATGAATAAAGAATGTCATCTGTAGTGCTTATTATTTTTAAATTAAAATATTCGATATTCCAAATTCGAATTAATCAAATGAATAAAAACGTCACGTACAGTGCTTATACTTAAAAATTAAAATAACTCATATTCGAAATTCGAATTATTCAAATGAATAAAGAATGTCATCTGTAGTGCTTATTATTTTTAAATTAAAATATTCGATATTCCAAATTCGAATTAATCAAATGAATAAAGTACGTTACGTGTATTACTTTTTTTAATTAACATTATATTAAGCAAAGCAAGCCAAGCCTCTCGTCAATTTGTTTATTGTTATTAGAAAACGCACCATACAGTACAGAGTTTATATAACAAACCTGCCCATAGAGGATTCATCAGCGGCCATCAGCGGGATTAAAAGAGCCAAGACTCATTATCACCGCACCTTTTAACATTAAACTGTTTTAGGGTTCTCTAGTAATTATTAATGAACTTGATAATTATATTTTTTAGTTTTTTTTTTCTTTTAATCTTTGACTAAGGTAGACTTTTTATTATCGTCTTTGTAGGAACAACAGTCTCATCGTTTTCAGCCGCCAAACATTTTATTGTGTAAGCTATGTTTCGATTGAAGGATGAAGTAAGGTAATGAAATTACAGTATATGAATAATAATAATAATAATAATACTAGCTACTCGTCCCGGCTTTGCGCGGGTGTACATGTATTAAATATATTATTGTAAACCCTCCTCTTGAATCACTCTATCTACTACTATCTAAAAACCGCTTCAAAATCCGTTGCGCAGTTTTAAAGGTTTAAGCATACATAGAGACAGACAGCGACAGCGACTTTCTTTTATACTACACTACTACTACTAAGTATATACACAACCACACGACACTCATAATAATAATCAAATTGTTATAAAATGAACATATACAATAAAACGCTTAAAAAAAAGACTAAGTTGACAAAATAAAAATCTACTATTTTTGTATATGTGTGTGTGTTTGTGTATACATGTGTGTGTCAAAGCAACCACCAAATAGGTCCGTGCTCAGTATAATGCTGCAGCGCCATATGGAAGGTGACATTTTAGTTCTTCTGAATGTAAACTCATAAGTGATATCACATGATAATGTGATATTGTTCATGTAGGTCAGAGGTTCCCAAACTTTTTTGTGTCGTAGACCACTTGCCATATTTTTCGGTTTTAAGTTTACTGTTCTAACCTGGTATTGGTTTTTTGTAAATTTCTAACTGTAGTACAGTTTAGTGTTAAAAATATGAAGTAAAAACAATAAGATGACTGTCGCAGACCCCTTGCATATTGTTATAGACCCCTTGGGGTCGATATAGTACACTTCGAGAATCACTGCTGTAGGTCATATAATAAAGTTTGGTAGGTTTATGACATAATAAACCAGGATAGGACAATAGATAGAAAGATTTTCAATATATAGATTGCTTTCTTGATTTCGTTGATTGATTTTAGAAATATGAAAGCGTAGCGGTTTTTGTATTTATTGCCGCATGCATTCTTATGTAAAATGTGAATACTATAACTATCAGATGGCAATTGTAAGTAGCTTTGACGTGGTCTAGTGTTTTGAGTAGTCATGCTCACTAAAATGTCCAGACTTGTGGCGGCGTGGTGGGCCGGG